GGTGCACACAGTCCCTCATGGTACTTGCTGGACTGGACTGGGACTGACTGGACCGGTACCGCTGACTGCATGGGTTTGCACCGCAGACTCGCTGCGGTCGCACTGCCAACGTACTGAGGTTGGCTCCACCACTTGCCCACTTGCCTCTGCCTAAACGTGAGCCCACTCCGAAAGGCCACTTCCGGGACCTTCCGGTAGTCTGTGAACTTGGCCTTTCCGGTACTGTAGCAGCTACGGCCTTGACCTTTCAGGGTTGTAGCAGCTACGACCTTGACCTTTCAGTAGACCTGTGGCTACGACCTCTATAGAGCTGTGACCCCTACTCGACAGACCTACAGATCGAATCCCTACATCTGCACAGTCCTACGTGAGACAAACAACAACTAACAAAACAGAGGTCACGGGTTCAAACAGTCAGGGGTCAACTCGAAACCGTACCCAGGTAAGGTCAGAACTAGGGATCGAGTCCTGGGATCTGCATTCGCTACTGCTAACAGGTGAAAACCATTTCACTCCCGCCGGCCCAAATTCATGGTCCTCCGAGAATAACTAAGTCCAAGGCAGGACCTTTACCTTTCTTATCTCTTTCGTAGGCTCTAACTATGTCGGGAGCTGTTTCCAGAAGTTCGGTTCTAGTAAACCAGCGGTCGTCTTCTGATTCTTTATAAGCAAATCGAACCTTGTACTGCTTCTGCGGACGACCTCTACCTCTTGTCATGAACACGTCTTCACCTACAATGTCGTCAATGTCGTATCTTCCGTCCATGTCTGGAGGAATCATGGATCTTCTAGATGGAAACTGTCGACTTGGGACATACGACAACAACTTTGAGGCATGAAACACAGGGTAGGTGTGGAGTTGTGCTGGGATCTCTACTGTGTAGGACAGCCCATCCTCTCCGCCCTTAACTTCTAGAACTGGCCACGGTCCTCTATGTGCGGGCAATAACTTCTGCGAGATGTTTTCCTCGGGAGCAAACTCTTTGGACTTGACCCAGACCAGGTCACCTACTTGAAACTATGACGGGTGAAGATGCTTATTAGCTTGTTCTATCATTCGGTGTTGGGCCTTCCTGAGGTTCTCTACCACGGTAGCTAACTCTTTCTCGTGCTGTAATGCAAAACTCCCTAGTACCGGGCGGTAGCCTGTGAATCTGGTCCTGGTTAAGTCCCTCAAACGGTCTGTGTGGTCTAAAGGACTTGTGTAACTCGTTGGGAGTGCGACAGTTAGACAAGTGCACACTGCTATTGTACGCACTGGCTACTTTGGGTAACATCTCATCCCAATTGATCTGATCCTCAGACTTTCCACGAGGCATACAGCATGGGTTATTGCATTCCTTCCAACCCGATTTTCGAGTTCCATCGCAAAAATACATGAATTCTCCCTCAACCCAGGTTCATATACAGCAACGATGTCAGGAGCGGTAGGTATAAGTTCTTACTAAACCATCTGGCTTGAGATGGAGGTTGGGACTTGAAATTTACATGATACTGCTTCTAAGGTCCTTATACTGCTTTCGAGGTCTTTCCTCTGCCACCTGTAGAAAAATAACCATGTTCCAGCATCTTTTCAACTTCCTAACCTCCATTCATAGAGGGTGGAAACATAGATGGCCTATTCAGAAAGTTATCACCTTCTACATAGGGTAGCAACTTAGACACATGGAAGACAGGGTATGTCCTTAGATGTGGAGGTACATCTATGCGGTAGGAAGGTCCATCTGTATCTCCAATTACCTTGAGAACTTCCCAGAGGCCATAGTAGACGGGTAACAGTTTTTGGGACACATTTTCTTCTAAGGAAAACTCTTTAGATTTAAGCCAGATAAGATCTCCTTCTTGAAATTGTGAAGGTCGACGATGTTTATTTGCCTGTTCAATCATTTGTAGTTGGGCTTTCTGTATGTTTTCCTTAACCTTCTTGATGTCTTCTTCATACGAAACTTCGAATTCACACGTGCCTCGGGGTAGCCTCTGAATCTGGTCCCTGTTAACGCGTCAATGGGACGCCTAGGCTTCCATCCTTTATGCAGTGCATTAGGCGTTCTACTTGTAATAATATGTATGTTGTTATTATAGGCAATTGCAATTTTAGGCAAGTTCTCATCCCAATCTATCTGATCAGGTCAAACATACATTCGTAAAAGTTGTTGGCAAAGACAGTTCATTTGCACAGTTTGGCCATTCGTTTCAGGGTGTTTGCCTGACGACATGGTCAACCTGGTCCCATAGACTTCCATCAACTTCTTCCATTGCAGACTAGAGAACTGAACATCCCCATCAGAGACGATGGTTTTCGAAAATCCATACTCAAAGACCCATCGTATTTGAAACTTCTGGATGACTAGTTCGGTTCTAGCTTCAGCAGGCAAGGAATGAACATAGCATGCTTTGAGAATCTATCTACGATGACCATTACCTGACTATTGTCATTTGGACTCTTAGTGAGACTCATAAAATCAATGGAAATAAACTCACCTGGCTCACTTGGAATAGGAAGCGGTCTCAGTAGTCTCATCGGATTCTCATGTGAGGGCTTGTTCCTTTGACAGACAAGACAAGTCCGCATATAGGTTAGTAGATCTTCCTTCATTCCTTTCCATTCAAAACGTTCGCGCAAATCAGCATACGTCTTCTTAAAACCAAAGTGACCTTCTGCATCATGGCATTCCCCAATGATTAAGCTTTTGATTGGTTCTTGGTGAGGAATACACGATCTTTCTTCGATTTTATCCAAAAAGAAGAATGAGTCATCATTCATTCGATATTATGGGAATAACTCGAGGTTCTTTCGTAGAGTCTCAATGACAGGATTCCAAATAGGATTACTCCCATAACCCTTCCGGGTATGTTCTTTCAGTTAGTTCCCGATATCTTGGTAGGAGACAATAGTTCCAAAGAAATTTGCACGTCTGGACAAAGCATCCGCAACCACGTTAGACTTACCTTCGATTGTTTTCAACTCAAAGTCAAAGGTATCAATGAAAACGGACCATCTTACCAATTTGTCAGAGAGTCTAGGCCGAGTCTTGATCCACTTCAAAGTAGAGTGATCAGAATAGATAGTAAAATGCCTCCTTAACAAGTAGTTTTTTTAGGATTCCAGTGCAACAACTAAGGCATTCAATTCCCTTTCATAGGTGGAGTTAGCCACTTTCTCTGACGGTAGTGTTCTAGACATAAGCTTAATAGGTCTATATCCCTTACCGTCATCTTGTTGTAGCACAACCCCAATTCCATACTGACTTGCATCATTCGTGACGATGAAAGGGAGAGAAGGGTCAACAATTTTTTAGACAGGGTAGTGAGTCAGTAGATGTTTCAACTTTCGAAATTACGACTCACAATCCTTGTCCCACAACCACGGTTTTTCTTTCTTTAGTAGTCTTCTCATTGGTGCAGTTATCAAAGAGAAGTTTTTGATGAACTTCCTATAGTAGCTAGCAAGTCCTAGAAAATATCTTAATTCAGTTATAGTCTTAGGCTGGGGACCATCTCGAATTGCTGTAATTTTTTTTCCCTCTGGCCTTAGTCCTTCCTCATTCACTATGTGCCCTAAGTAAAGTACCTCGGGCTTAGCGAATTCGAACTTTTTGAGGTTCAATTTGAAGTTGCCCTCGTGATAAACTACTACAAATTGATCAAGCCATTGTCGAAACAACTCGTTCATTAGCCTTTGGAAGGTCGCAGGTGCATTAGTTAGACCGAAAGGCATAACCACAAACTCGTAGTGCCCATACCTGGTTCGGAAAGCCGTCTTGTGTTGATCTTCAGGAGCCACCTCGATCTGGTGGTACCCTCACTTCATATCGATCTTACTGAAGTATTTGCATCCCTGCAATTGATCCAACAGGTCGTCAATGCGCGGAAGAGGTTCCACATTTTTCACAGTGACGGAGTTCAACCCTCAATGATCAATACATAATTGGAATTCACCTTCCTTTTTGGACACGGATAACACAGGGGCACCATAAGGAGATGAGTTAGGGCAAATCCATCCCTTGTCGGTAAGTTCTTGCAATTGTTTATGCAGTTCCTCAAGTTCCCTGGGAGACATTCGGTAGATGAGACCCTTGGGAATCTTGCATCCGGGAATGATCTCAATCGTGTGCTTAATAGCACGCTCAGTAATGATCGTCGGCTAAGTCTGCAAGTCCTTGTACTCGTCGAGAAGTTTTTCGATAGAAGGTGGATAGGATGAGGAATACTCACCGACTCGTTTGACAAGCACCATCATCACCTTCTAATCCAACTTGTTCTTTGCTACCATTGATCGAAAAGTTGGATAACTCATACAACAAAAAAACAGAGTAAAGTCAGAGCCAGACCTATGGTACAACTTGATTGCTCGAAGTTCGGACTTTTTGTCCTTGAGTTTGACAATCTATCTTTGAGTTTAACTTCTGGTTCGGCTTCCTCATGCCAATCCCTACCGAGAATCATGTCAAAGGGTAAACTCTTCTCTATTAGGAAAAGTACTTCGTGTAGGATCTTCTTTCCTTCCTTTGTTATAAAATAACACTTGGCATGATCGACGTATTGCGAGACAGTGATCATGCTCTTGTCAGCCAGTATAGACGTGATAGGTCGAGGTAAATCCTTTACCTTGATTCCCAGATGCAATTTGCGAATTGCCTTCTCTGAGATATAAAGACCGCGTCGATCCTGGATCTAACAGGGCACTTACTCGTGTGTCGCAATCTCAATCTCTGCGATCATTAATTCACCCTTAGACTTAGCTTTCTTAGCCCACGAACTCCTAAGTGCTATGAGTTCATTATCGAGTTCGTCAAGGGAATCGTCCAGTGAGACAGAGCAAAAAACAGTGTCAACGTGCTCTGGACGATGGGCCGAAGAAGAGTCATCCTCTGCCTTGAGAGTCGAAAGGTTAGAAGGGGTTTTACGCGCCTTACATTTGTCTTCGTCTAAACCCTTCGACTCAGTAGGAGCAGATGCTACTCCTACTGGCTGCTCGCTTTGGGTTCCTGATAAGTGGGCACCAGGCAATTACATGACCCACGGTGCCACACTCGAGGCACTGGCGATTGTCCATCTCGGACTGCCACTCCTCACGTGTCATGTTCATTTTCTCCCATGGTTTCCCGAACGCTATGCCAAGATGCTCAGGGAACGAGCGTGGCCTCCTCTTCTTTTTCCAGTAACTCTGGCCTCCCTTGTTGGCCATTACGGCATTGATGTCACCCTTCCCAGATTCACTGTCGCCATTACCTCCTCCTCCTTCAGACTCGTTGAGAGGTAATTTCTCTACTGCCTCATCATCAAACACAATACGCATGTGGTCCTGGCGCTTTTGCCGCCAAAGGACCCGCTTGCTGTACCCATCAACCGGTCCCGATTTAACTACCGAAGCGTACATACCTTTAAACCACCAATACCTACCGGTTGTTAAGGCCCGTGGCTCAGGCTACCGGTAGCCCGGTCGTTCCCGAGCCTCCGACTTTATTGCCGAGCCTCGGACAACCGGTAAGACACAACCGAAAAAAAAAAAAAAAAAAAAAAAAAAAAA